AAAAAAGGGCATCACCACAGTCCCCTGGGGACTTTGTATCATGGAAAAACATACACATACTGAAAAGCAAAAATTAGCAAGTACACTACCAGTCAAAAGTTTTTGAACAGTAAGATTTTTAATGTTTTTTAAAGAATTATCTTCTGCTTTGATCCAAAATACAGCAAAAGCAGTAATATTGTGATATATTTTTACTACTTAAAATAACTGCTTTCTATTTGAATATGTTCAAATGTAATTTATTTTTGTGATCAAAGATGAATTTTCAGCATCAATACTCCAGTCTTCAGTGTCACATAATCCTTCAGAAATCATTCTAATATGCTGATAAACATTTTTTTATATTATTATCAATATTTAAAACAGTTGAGTAAATTTTTTTCAGGATTCTTTGATGAATAGAAAGATCCAAAAATCTGCATTTATCTGAAATAAAAAGCTTTTGTAACATTATATACTATACCATTCAAAACCTTGGAGTCAGTATAATGTTTTGGGGGGGGGAAGAAATGATAGAAATTACTACTTTTATTTAGCAAGGATGCTTTAAATTGATCAAAAGTGATGATAAAGACATTTAGAATGTTACAAAACATTTCTATTTCAGATAAATTATGTTCTTCTGAACTTTCTATTCATCAAAGAAACCTGAAAGAAATCTACTCAGCTGTTTTCAACATAATAATAACAATAATAATAATAATAATAATAGTTTTCTGAGCAGCAAATCAGAATATTAGAATGATTTCCAAAGGATCGTGTGACTAGAGTAATGATGCTAAAAGTTCAGCTTTGATCACAGGAATAAATTACATTTTAAAATATATTCAAATACAAAACATTTATTTTAAATAGTAAAAATATTTCAAAATTGAACTGGTCTTGCTGTACTTTGGATCAAATAAATGCAGGCTTGGTGAGCAGAAGAGACTTCTTTAAGAAACATTAAAAATCTAACTGTTCAATAACTTTCGACTGGTAGTGTAAATAAAATACAGTAAAAATGAGTTTGTGGTGATGTGTTAAATTTCAGTCATTTTGACAGTCAATGCTGAAAAGTCACATTGGCTAAGTGGCTTAATTTTTTATTTTTAAAGACAAATTGCATAAATAATATGAAATTAATGTTTTAATTAATAATATTTAAAGTCGTTGAGTCATTTATTCAATCGATTCCTTAAAAACTGCCGATTCATTCAGGAACTAAGTAAGAAACTGTTTTTGTGTTTTATGAAAGGGTCAGTGAATAATTGATTCAAGGCCTTCAAAAAAGGTCAATTAATTCTGTAATGAAACACTGCTGTGTGAAGAGATGCACAACATGGCTTTGTTTAGAATCGTTTTTGCGAAATAGAGCAAAAAGACAATATTTTCTTCACAATTTAAATCACTTATTATTTTAATATTAGCTATTCTTAAAGGGGTCCTAATATGCTCTTTTACAAAGTCTTGATTTTGTTTTGGGGGTGTACTAGAACAGGCTCTCATACTAGGTTGTTCGAAAAACACATTATTTTTCACATATTTTAGATTATTACAACACCTCTCTCCCTAGTCTGGCATGAACGGCTTGAATAGTTCCTGTATCAAATGAAGGCCCGCATTCTGAAATACGAAGTGTGCTGTGATTGGTTAGCTGGGCCAGTGTGTGTTGTGATTGGTTAGCTGGGGCAGTGTGTGTTGTAATTGGCAGCACTCGGCGCCTGGTCGGGAAATGTCACGCCCCTTACCACTGCAAGCTTCAGTGTAAATATTGCGTCAAAATCTAATCAATTTGAGTGCGATTTAAACCCGGATGATTGTAACCACTCTAAGTTTGTCTGCCTTGGGAAAGCTAGCGTGTCTCCGACATAGTGATAACACTCGTTGTCTTCTCTAGTGCAGCTCAACCAGGTCTCGTCCCATTCGTCGATATTTGTGATATCACAAATCCCGGAAAATATGCGTTGTAGTCCAAACGAGTTGTTCGCTGTAGTTTTAGAAAAGTTGAAAAGATTTCTGTTAAATAAAATATCTCCTTTTGAAGTGGACTTTGAGCTTTGTAACTTAGCAGATATTTTTTATGCTCAAACAGCAACATTACAGACTAACTAAAGTTGAAAAAGTGAAAAAGCATAATAGCTTTACTATTAACTTCTTGTTTATTGAATTTTGTTGCCCTGACTCTTAGTAAAGCCTGCCACAGACCAGGTTAAATGCTAACCAATCTGTTCATATAATCGCTCTAAATGTGTGTGTGTCCAAGAAAGTCTGTACAAATAATAGGCCTACTTAAAAATCTATATTTGATGCTATACAGTAATAATAATCAAATTTTGACAGATAGTGAGATCGGTATTATGAATTTATAGGCTACAGTAAGTTAAAGATACCTGAAGCAGCTGCATTTTGCTGTTTAAGTGCTGGTTTAATAGAAATAATTAGAATGTGCATGAAAACTCAATCTTGATGTGCATAAGACACTGTAATAAAAACATTTGGGGCTTCCGCCCCCTTAGCCCACCCCTAGTGCCGCCCCTGTTAGACTCCCAGGGAATGAATAACTTAATAAAATGTGTACTTTAAATACAATGTAACTTGCTTAGGATAAAAGCATCTGGCAAATGCATAAATGTAAATGCAAAGTAAAACTAAATGTATTTTGTGTTACCTAATTCTGCATTTCTGTAAAATGGACAGCTGGCTGTATGATGATTCTGCCTCTCAGGATCCTGTTTTTGCTTGGAGAAATCTCCTGTAACAGTCACAAAATCATTTTGTGTTACTGTAGTTTATGATCAGAAAAAGACTGATGTAGAGTAACAGAATTTACATTTTAATAAAATAAACATTTGTAATATTTATCAGCAAAACTTGCTATATTAATATATTGCTAGAATGTTCCTCTCTTTAAAAAGTCAACCTGTTCTATCAGTTAGCTAGAGGCTAATTTGGCTAATTTAGTAACATTAACGTTAGTTAAGTTGATGGAAGCTCACCTGTTGTTAGCGCCGCTACGAGGCAATCACAAGACTCCAATACACCTCCGATGCAGACGACATGACCACACACTTGAAAATAAAATACAAAATATGTTTTTAACAGTGGTGTTTCTTAACTCAGTTTTCCTCAGTAACGTTAGGTTGTTAGCTCGCTGTTTTATGTTAACGTTAGGTCTGTCACTGAATTTAGGGACCGTCTCTAAAGTTACATACGACATTGGTACACACTTTCTGACTTAAATAGCATTTGAAGATAATTACCTTACTTGCGATAAAGAGGCAGAGTAACGTTAGAGAAGATAACTTACTATGCTTCTATTTGTTCAACTAAGTTAGTTAACTTCGGCTAACTGACATTATTAACCAGTTGATGTTATCATCGATACTATCTGTGGTATTCACAAGAAGAGGATCCAAAATACACCTCCGATGTTGCAGACTACATCCAGGCTAGAAATCTGAAAATAACAAACGAAAGATGTACTAGAAAATACTGTTTAAAATCTCCACTGAAACCGTGGTTTGCCTAACGCACTTTACCTCAGTATTTCACGTTAATTCGCTGTTAAGGTTAAATAACTGACTCACCAGAGGAGCTAACTTGCATTAAAGGGCAGCAGAACGTACAAACGTGTTTCTCGGTTTAACTAAGGTTTATTTAGTCTAATATAGGTGACCTTAACTTACTCCGCAGTCGATGTTATCAGCCTTTTGGCGGCATTCCGGCCGTCTGTCAGAAAAAAAGGCTCCAACTCCCGACATGAAAAATGACACGATGATTAATGTTAGTTTGCTGTTAACAAGTGAAAACATCTTAAAATATCGCAGTTTTGCATAAAACAGAAATAATATACTAACCTTTTTGTCGAGTTAACATTTCTCTTTTGTCCTTTTATGGCCAGATTGGCCACTTCAACCAAACAGTCAAAAAATAAATCTCCCTTGCCATTGGTCAGTTTTTCGCGGGCAAGTTTACTGTAAATTGATTTACAATAGTGAGGAAATACAGTAGTGACCGTATATTTTCCCATAATCCTTTGCTGTTTACAGTAAAATATTGTATACACATTTTACAGTATCTTACTGTACATATTACAGTAAAATACTGTTCAAATTACAAAAATCAGTAACAGTGTATTTACATATTATTGAGATCGGAAAGAATTATCTCTATGATAATTAAGCTCTTGTAGAGAAAGGAGAATAGTTTACTTGGAGTGGAAGTTTGGTCGAGGCAGACTATAATTTCTTACAAATATCAACAAGGCTCTTAATGTTTCTTAATGTTTTTAATTATCCTTAGAAAGACAGGGAGAACACATACATCTTGGCCCTGGATGGGGACACTGATTTCCAGCCATCTGCAGTCATGCTGTTAATCGACAGACTTAATCTCTACGCAGAAGTTGGGGCTGCCTGTGGCAGGATTCATCCAACAGGCACAGGTTGGATAGATATTAAGTATAAACCATTGTTATTTGGTTATTTTATTGTTTCTGATTATTTGGTCATTCCATTGCTTCTAAATACCTACAGATGTAGCTACTGTTTAAAAGTTTTGGGTCAGTAAAGCTATGATCAGACTGCAAGCAAAAATCTGATTTTTTTTAATGACAATAATGCCAAAAAAGGTGACAGAAATGCTGGAAGACACAGAACCCCTTGACCCTATGCTGCACAGCGAAGCCAGTCGTGACTAAAGCATGGAACCTTATAGTATATACAAGTCTCCTCCTTTGCTAAAGCACTTATTTGGAGTGCGAGATGATGATTTTTCCTGCATCCGTTTGAAAAACCTTGTTACAAACATAGGTACGCCTGCATCATTACCGAAGCCACCCATACAGATATGCTTTTCTAAAAAAATTAAATGACAGCAGTGAGAAAACAGCAGTTAAGAAAGCATCTGATTGTAGCGATTGCACCATTTTTGTAATTCGGCGCTCCAGTAAAGTTCAGTCTGTCATCTCATTTTGTGTGCCAGATATATTTATTTGTATTGTAAAAAATTATTACGTAATAATCATAATTATATAATAGTAAAATAATTATTTGACATTTTTAAAAGCCGAAGTGATAACCTTATTTTATTATTTATAATATGTAAAACTTAACAAATTCCAAAAGCTGAATAATCGATCAAAGCCAACTGATTATTTGGCAAAATAATTGACAATTTGTCAATTATTTGTTCCAATGATCGTTTGTTTAATCAATTATCAACATAATTGCTTGTTGCAGCCCTAGTTCTAGAATGGTTTTCAAAGTAGAATGCAGAGAAGAATAATTCAGCAAATAAAAATAAATAAGTAAATAAGGAAGTAGTCTGGACTGTATTTTCTTTACCTTCTATAGATTTTTTTCATGGTTAAATATGGTACAATATTTAACCATTTTGCTGCTTGAGGTACCACTGTAAATTTGAGAACCACTGCTCTATGAAGCACATAAAAGATCTATTTAAAAAATGCACTAGTGACTACTTGTAGATTATAAAGGTGATAAATTGACTAATAAGATAATTTCTTAACTTGTGCTTGAAGGGCCCATGGTGTGGTATCAGAAGTTTGAATATGCGGTAGGCCACTGGCTGCAAAAGACTGCAGAGCACGTGTTCGGCTGTGTACTGTGCAGCCCTGGATGTTTCAGTCTTTTCAGAGGAGCTGCACTCATGGACGACAACATCATGAAGAGATACACAACCAAATCCAGTGAAGCCAGCCACTACGTCCAGTATGATCAAGGTCTGCTTGAAGCTAACCACTGACAAATTATATAAATTCAGCTAAGACTAAAGTAATTCACCCTCTGTTTGGTGTAATGTCAGGTGAGGACCGCTGGTTGTGCACTCTGCTGCTGCAGCAGGGCTTGAGGGTGGAGTAGAACGCAGCATCTGATGCCTACACCAACGCTCCACAGGATTTTAAGGAGTTCTACAACCAGCGCAGACGCTGGGGACCCTCTACCATGGCCAACACCATCGACCTCTTGGGCTCAGGAGGACTGACCTCTCAGAGGAACAGCTCTATCTCAAAACTTTACATCTTGTACCAGATTATCAGCATGGCAGCTTCCATCCTGGGCCCTGCCACTATCTGTCTCATGATATCAGGTACAATTTTGCATATAAAAATTTGAGATGCACCAGTCATCCGACTGATCTGTTTTCCAGAATTGCACACAAACGGCATTGCAATAATTTCCCAAAATGCCATTTGTGTGGAAATGTTATGAAGTCTGTAAACGACCAATAACAGAGGCCAGAGACAGAGAATATTTAGTGATGCACGAAATATTTGAAAAAATATATATGTACACTCTAAAAAAATACTGGGTTGTTTTAACCCAATGTTGGGGCAAATATGGACTAACCCAACTGTTGTGTTAAAAAGCTAATTTAAAAATGTAAACAAAATGTAACCCAACAGTTGGGTTAGTCCATATTTGACCCAGCATTGGGTTAAAACAACCCAGCATTTTTTAGAGTGTAGATATTGAATTGGGGGGAGTTATATGAATATATCACTCAAGGGAACTGACCGTTATCAGAAAAATGTTGATGCCATTTTCTTTTCCTCTTACCTCCATATTAAGTAGTTTATAACTACTTGGTTTATTACTGCTTTGTTTACAGTGGTAAACGAGGAAAGGCTATATCTCTGCTTTTCCATAAGCACCACCTGCTGTCAGAGAGTAAATTTGCATATTCATTCAGCCTGTTTTTGTTTAGTACAAATGTCTTATGCAACAATTTCACAAATCTGAAGTCAGACCATTCTATTTTTGCTTTAATTCTTAAAATTATACAATCTAATTCAAATAAAAAATTGCACATGCTCATGTGTAGCATCTTTGGTTGGATCATGATTAAAATGCATTGATTGCTTCTTATTTAATATGACGAGCAAATAAACAAATAAATTAGCTTAAACAAAGGCAAAAATCGGCAATCAGCCATGAAAAATTATGATCGGTGCATCACTAAAAAAATGTTTATTGACAGGAATTTATTGTCCTGTTTTTGCAATATACCAACAAGATTTAATTTTACAGTTACATTTGTCCAAAATTTCTAAGTGCTTTTTTTTTTATCTTGCAGGAAGCTTTGTGTTCATCTTGAATATGGATGAAAATATAGCCCTAGGTTTGGCCATAGTGCCCCCTACTGTCTACCTCATCCTGTGCTTCAAACTGAAATCTGACACACAGATTAAAATTGCAGCAATCATGAGTGTATTCTATGCATTTCTCATGGCGGGAACGATTCTCTCAATCATAGGTAATGGTTGTTTTTTATGTCTAAAACACAATTTATTTTCAATTTCCTGTTGACACATATAGATAGGCCTACTTTTTGAAAGCGATTAGTACTTCTTAAGAATTAGGGTTATTACAGTTAACAAAAATGAAAACTGATACTAAAATTAAACCATTAAAAATAATTCTAAACTGAATTAAAGTGAAGCATAAAATTTTTTATTAAAGCAATAAATCAGCATATTAGAATAGATTAGACTGAAGTAATGGCTGCTGAAAATTCAGCTTTTCCCCAAAGAAATAAATTATATTTTAAAATATATTCAAATAGAAGACAGTTCTTTTAAATTGTAATAATATTTCAAAATATTGCTATTTTTATTGTATTTTGATCAAATAAATGCAGCCTTTTAGTCCATCAATATTTACTAAACTAATAGACTGCTGAAGGATGGCAGTAGGCTACTATCTAATCTTGGACATTGCCACAAACCTATCATTTTGTTTCTAGATATCCATGTCCAGAGAGCAAACATGTAAATTAGCTGAACGACTTGATGGGTGACAAATGGGTGAAATATTGATCTATAATACTTGCTCTTCTCTTGTCAACTCTCATAGGTGATTTAGTGAAGCAAAATACTTTTCTGACCCCCAGTGGTCTGTTCCTCATCAGCATGGTGGTTTTGTACATCTTCACGGCAGCTTTACACCCTCAGGAGTTCTCATTGGTCATCTATGGATTGTTATACTTCCTTTGCATTCCCAGTGGGTATCTACTCCTAGCTATTTACTCCATAGTCAACATGAACAATGTCACGTGGGGCACTCGTGAAACTGGCAGCCAGGCTAAAACTACGGCAGTCGATACCATCAAGAAGAAGGTCATGAACGCCACATGCTGCAAATGTCCATGTGTGGAATCTGAAGATCTGAGTGAGAAGATATTACCAGCAGAAACCATAACACAAATGTAAAAACATGTCTACACATTAGGATAATGTTACACTGGCACTTCCATCCATCTGTGTACCATTTTAATTTGTAACTATTTTTATAATTAGGCTTGTTTTTAATACTACTACTAAAACTAATACTTTATTCCTACAATGTAGGGATCATGAGTTCCAGCTTAGTCCTCGTCAAAGTAAGTATGACTTCCATACTTAAAGGGATAGCTCACCCAAAAATGAAAATTCTGTCATCATTTACTCGCCCTCAAGTTGTTCCAAACCTGTATGAGTTTATTTCTTTTGGTGGACATAAAAGAAGAAGAAGAAGAAAAAATACAGTAGAAGTCAACCAGAAACTGATTGATTACCCTCAGTATTCAAAATATTTTCTTTTGTGTTCAGCAGAAGAAAGAAATTCATAGAGGTTTAGATGAGCAATATCACTAGAGTACTCGAGCGATACCGGCTCTATATCAGCATGGCTGTGATTAGGCCAGAGGCACGAGGCCGCAGGCAATCACAGCCGCTGATATAGAGCCGGTATCGCTCGAGTACGAGAGTGATATTGCGTTTATACAACAGTTCGACGGAACATGTGTGTAATTAAACAAGAAACAATGGAGTGCCTAATAAAACCCTCTTTTGTGCGGAACTACTTCCTTCCGCCACCAAAGCTCAAGTTGACAGTTAAACATACGTCACTTTTAGAATTCGTATCAAGGGCATGTGCTGCTTCAGTTAGGTTATTAGTGAGAAATAATGAGGTTATAAGAGAGAAACAATGCGGCAGAGACTGCGAAGCTAGACGTTTCTTCTTATATTAACTAACGTACTCTAGGATTAGCTCAGTGAATAATAAAAAAAAAAACATAGACCCGGCTAGAACAAGCGGAGTGATACAAAATTGTGAAAGGGTGTTCCTGTAGATACCAGTATAATATCTCACGGTTCTCAACCAATCAGATTTGAGAACCAGAACGAACTGTTGTATAAAACAACTTAAGGGTGAGTAAATGATGACAGAATTTTTGTTTTTGGGTGAACTATCCCTTTAATATCATAATATTCTAGATAGATGTATTGAATTTGACCACCATTAAAACTAATATATGTTTAAATCCAAAAGCTTGGATTGAACATCTGCAGATGAAATCTTACGAATTTCCCTTGGATGAATCTGAACTCGCTTTGGTAAGTCTAACTGGTTCAAACGAAATATGTGCGATTATTATATTATATTATATTTATTATATTATAATTTAAATATTATTTGTTATTTAGTTGCTTTTTTATTGTATTACACAAAAGTAGCCATGTATTATTGTGCCATAATATAGTTACGTTTCTCAGCTTTTTTGGGGGGGGGGGGACAACTTTATTTTTTTGACCATGTCTTGCTTTTATGCATTGAATTGCTGATTAGATCTTAGCATTAATTAAATTTCCACTGATATGTTTTAATGCCTCTTTTTCATTTTAAATGTTGCAGGGTGAAACCAACTTCTGGATAGAACTGCAGAAGAAATATCTGGAACCTCTTAAAGAGAATAAAGAACAACAGGAAAAAGTTGCTGATGATCTGAGAGAACTTCGAAATAAGGTAAGCAAAAGAAATAAAATATGTCAGTATGCAAAAATAACTTTTTATGTGGTTTTGTCTAAAGTAACTGATCTGCAACAGTACATATTTGTCTCCATGCTGTTAGCTTTTCTTTTCCTTACAGGTTACATTTGCCTTTTTCTTCTGCAATGCACTTTGGCTGGTGGCAACTTTCTTCCTTCAGGCGATTGGTGACTTTGTCTCTATAAAGATCCCAAAAGTCTATCCCAATGGGACTTATGACCCAACAGAAGTGTTTTCCATAGATCCAATCGCACTGATGTTTCTACTGACCTTTGCATCATTACTGTTAGTGCAGTTTGCTGCAATGCTTTACCACAGGTAACTAAACATGCACACAAGAATTAAATCACGATTACTGATAGAGAGACATTTTTGTTTTATATGCTAAAAATTATGAGACCTATTTTGTTTTAGTATTTCAATAAAAAGTTGAAAATCAATAAAGTGTATTATACATATTAACGTATAATGTATATTAACCATTATAAATGTAAAACTAGTCCAAGTATGAATATATAAATCATCCTGAATGAATCATCCTGTTTTAATCCTATTTTATGTGCAGTATATAAGTAATGAATTATGTTCTTTTGTTTCAGAATCTACACATTAATCCATTTTGTGGCATATGCTGACACAGAAATTAAATCTTATAGAAAGCAGTCACATCGGTCACATCAGGTGAGCCAATGGATCACACACAAAATGATGACATTTTAAATGTTATTTATTTATTTTTTAATGAACCATGTCCACCATGTTACACAGATCCTGGACTCAAACCACCAGCCTGAGACGTATGGGCCAGACACAGCCTTATGTTTTCAGAACCCCTCTGGGGTTATAACTTAAGTATAATTTTTTGTATGCAATAATTCATGTTTATAGTTCAGTGGATAATAATATAGTCCAAATAGAATGTTCTGAATGACCTGTTGTAGTGTAAAACATCAGGCCTGATAATTAATGAATTTTTATTGAATTAATTACATGATATGCCAAGTAATTATAAAATTAATCACAATCAATCACATAGTATTGAATATTAGCATTGAATATTATAGACATTACAATAAATGGCCTTTGAAATCAATTATGTATTGTTTATTAGTCAATATATTATTTGTTTAGTTTATTATTTTCATTCCATATACCATACAATTATATTTGTTTCTTAATTTTTCGCATTAAATTAACATGTTAAATTTACAGTAATTTAATTCTATTTGTACACATTTACTGTAGAATGTAAATATATGAAATATATTAAAAAGATATATGCTCTTTTAAAATGGTCTCTCATTGTGACTCGGGAAGTTTTCATGGTTTTGAACAGAAGTTTTGTGTGAACACTTGTGTACTTGCTTCTCTTTCTGAGAAGACAGACAGAGCTCCAGGTGGTTGTTGTTTTTAAATGCTAGAAATGCTCGGAGGTTGTTTTTTTTAAAATGCTAGAAATAATTATTTTATTGTTTTACGTGATGTAAAATAAAATTTAAAAAGAGGAAAAACATAAGCATGAATAGTATGAAACAAAACACTTAAAGAAGTCGGTTTTGTGCTAAAATAAAAAATTCAAAAATAAACCATGAGAAAGGAAAAAAAACATCTTGGACACTTTTAATATTTGTTAAAGTACTAGGCTACATGTTAACAATAGTAATTAAAATGGAACAATAAAATCAGCATCAACTGTGCCTATGTAAGTTTTTCTTTAACCATATGAGACAGTTACACTAACATAACATGCTAAACAAGTAGCCTATAGCTTACAAGAAATAGTAACATTATAGTAACGTTCACTAATAAATTAACAAAAGGGATATATAGGCTAATGCTTAACAGATTAGTAGGCCAATTTCATTCACATTTAAATATGAATAGCCTATATATGAATTCAAGTTCCAATTTAATGTACAATAACTAATGATCTGCTAACCATAAAGGCTTTTAACATCGTTCTAAACTCCATTCTAAACTAAACTAAACTAAAGTGAAGGTATACGTTTCACACTTGTAATTTAGAAGCGGGGTTAGCTCCGCTTTATCCCCAGGGTAATAAACCCTGCTCCGGAGCAGGTAACCTTTGCGCATTGCGACTCCGAACACGTACAGTGTGCAACAACTACAGTATATATATATATATAGGCTATATATGTTAGGCTATATAATGTATAATGTTACGGCTAGGCTTAGCAACAGACACCCAATCGCATGCCTCATAAGCGCATAGTATAAACACTCCTTTTGGTGTAAGAGGGAAAATGTCAAATGGTGACGGAAATTGTTATCGCAGGATTCCATTTATAATGATCCAGGGTTAACTATTTCAAGTGTGAAAACCCCTAATGCTTGTTAAGTCAGTAATGAAGTTTTACCCCCAAAAAATTATACAGTATTTATTTACATTATGATTGTGATGTGTAGAAGCACATAACAATAGTACTATGTTAAGAGGTACAAAAAACAACAAAAAACTAATTTAGTACAAAAACTAAATTATGAATTAATCAGTACTGTTGCTGGCTTTGGTTCTCAAGGGAAAGTTCTGTCTATGTTCATGAATTCGCCGTCAGGGTAGACCAGGAAACCAGAGAAGGTCGTATATCTTCCCTGGTTGCTGTAAACGGCATATCCGTCATCCTGCTGACTGTACAGCCAGACACTGTCTCCTCTTTTCAGTGACAGCAGCAAACTCTGACTCTGCATCTCTCTCCGCCGCGACATGTCCTCGTCGAACACCATGGCCCGCACCTCGCCTCTGCCCGTCATCAGCTTCACTGAAACCGCACGACGAGGGTGCTTTCCCACAGTAAATGCAAAGTAATACGCACCGGGGAAGTGGCAGGTAAAATGTCCGGATGTTTTGTTAAAATGGCCACCAATGTTCACATACTCTACGTCAAACTTGAGAGCTTCTCTTTCACGACGCCCTCTGCTTTCTCCCAGCGCTGATCTAGTTCTTGCCACTGAAAATGCAGAACGTGGTTCCTCAGTGGTTGCTCTTCTTCTCCAATCATAATAGGCATCTACAGGGGGAGGACAACCTGGAAGATGGAGGCCTGGAGGAGATAGGTGGTTATTGATATATCCAACAGAAGATGTAGAGTCTGGGTAGACGAGATAACCACTAAATGTTATGTACGGTCCGACATTGCTGTAGATGGCGTAGTGGGGATTCTCCTGAAGCAGCAGGTAGACTGAATCCATAGGTTTTAGACTGACCATCACGCTCTGGCTTTGAACCTTGCGGCCCTGGTTCTGGTATCCATCGTATGCCATGGCCTGCACCTCCATCCCATTCTTTACCAGCATGACTGACAGCATCTTTTTCGGGAACTTTCCCACTGTGAATGAGAAGTAGTATGCGCCAGGCAGGCGGCAACGGAAAGTGCCCGTCTCTGGATTGAAGTCTTCTCCAATGTTGACTAGAAGGCGGTCAAAGGTCACAGATCGCTGAGTGCCACCCAATATGCTGCTGCTACGTGTGGCGGAAAAGGCAGAGCGCAGACCTGTTGTCATTGGGCTGATGTTGAAGGATGCCGCACAGCCCAGATAGATGATCAGCACAAGTAAACAGGAAACACATCTGTTTGGTCTCCATAATGCCACACAAGCTGTAGTAAAAAGACATGATTGTCATCAGAGGTGTTTCATGTCACTTTTTGGCACTGTTGAAAAATAGTTCTCAAAAAAACCCAACTAATTATTCAAAAATGTATCAGACTGTAATTTTATATTCTGCACCACACATACAAAACTTATCACTTTTATTTCTGTGTAAAACTATAAAATAATTCAAAACAAACATTGTCCTTGAATTATTTTAATCATGAGATTAATGATCATTAATGTTTTAACCCTCTGGTGGTCTTTGGTCATTTTAGACTGAAATGTTATGTTGTGACTTTTTACATTTTATTTCATCAGAATAGTACTGATGAAGACCAAACTTGGTGACTTTTGTGGCACTTCTATATGAACACACAAAAATGTGGATATTATGAGAAAAGGCTAAATAGTCACATCGGTGATCTTCATGGTCAGAAATGACCACCACAGGAAATGAGAAATATAAAAATACAGAGCAATTTTCTAGGGTACAATCTACAAATCAGCTATGATAAAGTAATCTTTGATAATGTATAAATATAAATCTGAATGGAAAAAAATTAATAAAAGTAAGTAATTATGCAACAAGGGAAAGTGATGGCATTACATTTTTCTTTATTTCTGCCCCCAGATGGCATTGTACTGGATTTTAAATAACTTTGCTCTATTTTTAATTCAAACAATATGAATAAAAAAAATTAAGAAATAATTTTGCACATAAATAAATGGTGCGCAATTTAGAGGTGAATATTGTCTAATGTTGCATCTGAACTCTTCACACACACAGATATATATATATATATACATATACACATATATATATATATATATATATATATATATATACACACCCACACACATATATATATATAATAATATATATCTTCACACACACACACACACACACACACACATATATATATACAC